TGCCCCCTGCATAATTGGATCAATCCCTTGGTAACAGGGTTTCACATACACACACACACACACACTTTGATTGGGAGTGAAAAGATGTGGATCATGTTGAAGTTCAATTTGCAAGAATTCTTTGGGGGACTTGGGGGAAGCTACGCCTTTAGGGGTTAAAATGTTGTCGTCGTCGTCTCGTCGTCGTCTCAGGGGGAATCTACGGGACCTTGAGGTTTCCCCTTGCCGTCACCCAGCTACCGCGACGGGTCCAGGGCTGCTGGGGCCTAATGAATTATAAGCAGGTACGTTTGCTCCCCTCGCTGGGGGTGTCTTCGTTGGCAGGAGACCCCCACCCTGCTTTTCCTAATGCCTAAACCCTAAAACTTCATGTGGGTGTGACCCCCTGCGCCCACGCAGCCCCAAACGGGGCGCTGCATAATGTTGGTTCTCCAGAGCCACAAGACCCTAAAAGACGCTAAAAACTGAAACCCTACAACCCTGCATTCCCTTAATCATGAAATAGGGAATAGGCTGAACGGGAGATGAGAACAGCAACACGGGGAAGCAGGGAAACCTGCCAACAATTACCACCTGTTCGATGGGAACCCCAACGGGGACACCACGGCGCCGCAGTGGGAAAGCCGCTGTAATCACACTTGGCCGGTCAGTCGCAAAGACTGACGTGCCATCTTTTTGGTTTGTGGACTGCTCCCTTACAAAAATTGCCGCGGTCCTCGTTGCTGCATTGTGAAGAGCTTTTTTTGGAGGGATTTGGGGAAGGTAAGCCCTTAAGGGGTACAATGTTGTTGGCGTCGTCTCGTCGTCGTCTTAGGCGGACTTATGGGACCTCAGGGGTTCCGCGCACCAGCACTCAGCTACCACGACGGGTCCACAGCAGCCTGGTGGGGCTTAATAAATTAAAAGCAGGTACGTTTTCACCCCTCTCTGGGGGTGTCTTCGTTGGCAGGAGACCCCTGTTCCCTTGAAACCCAAAGTCCACAAATGAGGGAGTGACCCCCTGCGCGCTTGAACTAGAATGACGCACACAGACCCACACAGACCCACGCCCACGCCCACACCCACACCCACACCCGCACCCACACCCACACCCACACGCGCACACGCACACGCACACGCCCATGCCCACGCGCACGCCCAGCCCCACGCCCACGCCCACGCCCACGCCCACGCCCACGCCCACGCCCACGCCCACGCCCACGCCCACCCGCACCCGCACCCGCTCCCGCGTACGCGCACGCGCACGCGCACGCGCACGCGCACGCGCACATGTAGTGGCAGAATCCGCCAAGTGGAGGCGCACGCAAGACCTCTCCTCGTGCAGGCCAACTCAGAGTCATGACTGCTCCACAATTTGCTTTGTGAGATTTTGTGAGGCATGTCCGGGGTGACGAAGAGGCGCTGGCCGCTCTTGAGGCATCAGCGACACCGGCTGTGGGACCTAGGGGTTCTTGCAACATCTTGCAACCTCAGGTGGCTTTGTGGCCGCCGCAAAACAGTGTCAAACAGGACAGTCTTGGTCAAGGCATTGGGACTCGGGAAAAATGTGTGCCGACCCAAACCTGCAGGAGTCAGATCCTCATGACGGTACTTCACCAACCTCAGAGGAAGCTTGGCACCTTTGCCTTTGTATGTTTTTGTTGCTGAAATTCTGGTGGATTGCACGTCCAGGACATAGCAACACCACTTCCATCTCCTCCAGCTGCTCCAGCTACCCCTTTGCCTGTCACGCCGTTACCTACACCAGTCGCTACGGCGGTCAGCCCAGGTCCTTCCAGAAGCAGGAAAGGTAGTTCCAGAAGTGTGCTTTCGGGGTGTTTGGGGTCCATTTCTTCTGAGAGGATTGCTGGAGCAGCTGCTGCCGCGGCACGCTGATGCCCCAAGAGCGAATGTAGTGAATGTAGTGTAACCGCTAGCGTGAGACCGCCTCGGCAAAGGCTGCAAAGCAGGGGCAGTGGGCACCGCAGCCTCTCCCCCTCCCCCCGCCAACCTGTGCGGAACCCAGACAACCGCCCGGACCCTCCGTTACCCCCCTAGAAACCCCACTGGGAAGGGGTAGGGGGTGGGTTATCTTACTCTTCCAAAGGAGCTGGATCTAAACGCCCCAGGCCTCCGGCCTCGGCGGATTTGCTTGTTCATGATGTTCCTCAAAGGCCTTGTGGCAAGGTGCTGCAGCAGGAGCACGACAAGCTATGGCTGCTGCAAGTCGAGTCTCCACTGCAACTGGAGGAGACTCCGAGAAGCGCCGGAGTGTTGATTCACGCGTCGCTTCATTGTTGGCAGGAGCTGCATTGGCCACCTTGGTAAGCCCTGAGCCGTCAGGACGGTGACGGGCCATAAATTTCAAAGCCACCTGCACATTCTTTCGTGAGGCAATGATGGGAGCTTCTTTGTGATTGGCCAGCATTCACACCCAGGAGCTCCAGACCGTAGAAACTCCGTGTTCAGTGGGCGCTTCATGCCGCTCTCTCTGTGGGCGCAGGCAGAAAGCAGAGGACCCGGCAATTTTTGAGGGTGCGCACGGCAAACCAGCAATGAGCGCCTAAGGTGCCACTCCACCCGTTTCGGGCCCTGGCTCTCCTGAACAGGCTAAGGACAGCGCATGTTTTCCAAGCGATTGCCCATGAAGCATGTTGTAGTTTCAGGATGTTTCAGGTATCTTGGATTATGGTTCGCATTCACAAGGTGAATGAAAAGGGCTCACGCTCAACACAGGTATGCACGGGTTTAGCTTCATACGTATGTTTGACTTCCTCTTCCATTTTTCCCCAAACCCCTCTAGGGTTGGGTTCTTCAGGTTTTCCAACGAGTGGGCATCGATACGCAATGGCCTGTGGTGCGGCGCGGCATCAGAGGAGGTTGGTCGCGAAGGGTTGGGACGGTGACGCAGCGCGGTGAGGCGCAGTCGGATGCTTGGGACGGGGTGCGGTGCGGCTGGCTCGTGGGTGTTGGATGCTGGGGAGGCCGCGAGGACGGGGTGCGGCGCGCTGCGGCGCGGGGGTGATGGACAGAGAGGGTGGCCTGATGCTGGGAAGCGCTGTGCGGTGGTGTTGGTAGTCGCGAGGATGGGTTGCGGTGCGGTGGGGCGCGGGCGTGGGTCCGGTGCGGCGGGCGGTGTGGGTGGCGCTGGCCGCAAGGAGGGTGCAGGCGTTGGAGCCGCGCCGGTGGACAGGGAGGGTGTTGGATGCTGGGGAGGGGCGGCCACAAGCACGGCGTGCGGCGTGGGTGGTGATGGACAGGCAGGCGTGATGCGACGCGGGTGCGCCGAGCTTTTTTCCCAACTAGTTATTTTCGTCACAACGGGGGTGGTATAATGACCCGGCTTCTCTACGTTGTGTCATGAGTGTCTCGAGATAGCGTTTGACTTGTATAAGAAGGAGTAAAGAACAATAAGGTTTAAGAGAACCCAAAACACTGTAAAACGCGAAGGAGAAGAAAAACAACGATAAGGTTGAACTTTGTAAAGGATTTATTACGGGGCTTTCATACAGGGTCCCAGGTTTTTTTTTTCCTAGGGTTGGCTCGGATTGGGCTCTGGAGTTAGGGCTGGTCCCGTGGTCCTTTGGTCCCGTAGACCCTGCTCTGAGCCCCTGGTGCTCTGGTCCCCTCATCCTCTGGTCCCCTGG